CCCTAAAACCCTAAACCATCCTGAACCCTAGGCCCTAGGGGATCTCGAGTCGGGCTCAGGTTTGAACAGTTATCAGGAGATGGCCCGAAGAAAGACGACTGAGCGCCTAAGGGGCCCAGGGCAGCCAGAAAGAGGGTCTTAGGGGTTGGAGGTCTGATAGAGGCTGAGCTTTGGCCTTCAGGTTGTGGGTTATTTCCCATCTGCTTTCGCGTTGATGAAAGTCAGAGCCATGGCACAGAGCCCCGCAAAACCCAAGAGCTGTAGACCTTTGGCAATACACACGGACCGAAGCATCAATCTCGCAGTTTAAGTTTTTCCCAGATGGCTGTTGAGCTTGCGGAAGTGTCGCCTGTTTCACGCTGGAAACCCACCGTGCAAAATAGAGCCCGTTCTGGTCTGAACGGAGTTGTTCAAAGTACTCAGCGCCAGGGATTTCCTGTTGCTTCTTCAGCGTTCAACTCAGTGTCCCGGCTGTTGCTGCTATGTTCATGTCGCTTCAATTAGGTCCCCGCCTTGCAGGAAAGCGGACATGACCTGCTCTGGTATTGTTTCCCTGTCGGCTCGAGTGTCACCAGAAGCTTCTAGACTTGTAGGTCGCGTCAGCTGAACTGCAGCCCGGAGGTAAAGCGTCCCCGGGTAGAGAGTAGCAGCATCCAAAGCCATCTTAGCTGGTCAGGGCAGGCACATGTTGGGCACAGCACCTTCTGTTCCTGTTCCGATGTCTTTTAGGAGGTTCTCGACTTCAGACAGCTTCAGCCACATGTACAAGCCAGCATCTAGCGCTGCAGCAGCACTATCACCATTCCCAACGCAGCGCCTCGCCGCTAGACATCACATGCCCGCACGGGCACAAGACCCATGGGCAAGCGATTCCGCTGACCGCCATGCCGCTCATAGTCGACAGCGTGAAGCGCGACCTGACTGCTGTCGCAACTGGTCAACGACTTCAGCTTCAGCCGTTGACCACGTTTTATTTCGATACTTTCTTTGATGAAGTTGATGCATGTCAGCTCAAGGGCTGTAAGCACAAGATTTCCCAAGCCCAGCAGAAGTGACTTACCAAGGCTGACAGTGTACTTCCTCAGCCTGTTGTGCGCTCGTAGCACCCGTCGTAAGCAGGAAAAGTCATTGCGCCTCATCTTCTTCGCAAGCCCGACGCAGGTAGAATGGGGGCGGCAAAAGATGCAGGAGAGAGCGAGCCATGGGTTTAGGGCTTAGGCTCTAGCGTGGAATTTGCTGGGTGTACATGTGCAGTACTGCCTTGTTGAATAAGTTTGTGGCCGAGTCTAGCGGAGGGCTGCGGGGATTGTGCCCACAACTAATCTTTTCAACGGTCCTTGCAAAATGCCGCGTCTTGCTCCCTAAACCTTAAACTTAAACCCTGACTCCAGGGAGACCCCAAGGAAAGCCAGATGCCGAAGAGACTTTGAGCCTTGGGGGGACCTCAGACTTTCGGTTCTCCCCGACAGCCCTGCGGGCTTCGATAGCTGTCTATGTGATTCCCTAGGGTTTCTTATCATGAGTATCCTGGGATATATCATCTCCTAGGGATTCTTGTCAGGATTTGGTTTTCGAGTCTATCCCGAAATTCTATTCGGTGTTCGAAAAATTCAGGCCCCTAACCCCTAAACCCAAAGCCCTTAAACCCTAAGCCCTTAACCCCATCTTGCCACAGGAGGGCGACTACGAGAAGGCTGCGCAGCACTTCGGAATGGCCCTGGACCTGCGCCTTGGGGCAATTTCGTCATCATTACCATATTCATACTAGTAATTACTAGTCGTAGTAGTAGTAGTAGTCGTCGTCGTCGTCGTCGTCGTCGTCGTGGTCGTAGTCGTCGTCGTGGTCGCAGTCGTCGTCGTCGTCGTCGTCGTGGTCGTAGTCGTGGTCGCAGTCGTCGTCGTCGTCGTCGTCGTCGTCGTAGTAGTAGTAGTAGTAGTAGTAGTAGTAATGGAGTAGGAGTAGGAGCAGGAGTAGGAGCAGGAGTAGTAGTAGGAGGAGGAGGACTGCTGCTGCTACTACAGCTACTACTACTACTACTACTACTACTACTACTACTACCACTACTACTACTACTACGACTTCTACTACTAACTACTACTAACTACTTCTAACTGCTACTACTACTACTACTACTACTACT